ATCATGCTATATATGTAGACACAAGCACGCATTCGTTTTTCTTTGAGACATAAACGTAAAGCATACTTAGGATCATAAAAGAACTCAGGCCCAGAAGTCCTCCCCTTGCCAAACTTGCATTGGAGAAAACGAAGGAGTGCACTATCATCCTCCTGTCAAGTATCTCAAAGTACAGTCTGCATTAGCCTCTAAATATAGCCTTTTCCTTGTTTTCTTTTTCTTTTTATACTTCTTAAGTGGAACCAGGAGTATGGAAATTTATTTGTTTTATGGATTGTTCAAAAACACGGACCAATTTCATTCATCACTTTCCTAAAATGAAAAGGTTTCCATGAAATAAAATGATGGCTATGGATCTGAAGGGTTAGAATGTCCTTTGACCTTTTGAAGGCTCAAAAGGTTCTAAATATATCATCCAAATACTGCAATTCATACAAAGTAACAACATAGATACATGCATACATGTAAGAATACAAGCATGCATGCATATCTACACTCTACTATACTGTACGCATCTGTATTATGTATGTATATAGAAACACAAACCCATTGAGAGAAGAATTTAGGTTAACAGTGTTAATTAATGTGAGGAGCATCACCATGTCACAGGTCTAATATTAGTAAATGCAATGGCGTGAATGTTAAGGAAGTGCAAATCTTAAGGATCTCCAACCCACCTGTTTTGCATACAAAGAAAGTAGCAAGTTGTGTATAGCAGGATCCTCATTTTGCAAGTGATGAACACAGAATTCCAAATATTTTATAACCTCATGGGTCTCATTCCTGAATGTCAACATGCACAAATATTAGTGAAACGATCAAAGTTACTGCAGACAAAAATAAAAGAGAAAATTTGTTAACAGTATTCATCAGATAAATTCAAGGTAAGTAGTGAAAGGCGGTGGTTTAATAATATTGTATGTGATGCCACATACAAAGAACAACGAAGTTGATATAATTAGGCAGGAAAGGCAAGTTTTGCTTCTTGCAAGCACAGATAAAAACAAGAAATTGAAATGCATAAAAAAAGTTACTTCGCATGAGGTTCACTAGAATAGCGCATCATTGCAGGGATCAGCCTTCTTGAGTTCAAATTCTTTGTAGCCATCCACAGTTCAACAGTCTCATATGCATCAAGCACTATCAGATCTGGAGCAAATCTGTACTGCAAAACAGCAAGACATACAGTATCAATAAATGGATCAAAGTAATACTTTTTATTATGGTGAAATAGGCTTTCAGAAACGAGGTAAAGAAGCTACATGACTAGCACATTAAGCTAGAAATTGTATGCATGGAAATAAATAAGATTTAACATCAAGAGCTTGAAAAGATCAATCACACACCTGCAATTCTAGAGGTACACGTTGTTTGTGAAGCACAGCCAATGCTTTCTTTGCCTCTCCTTGCTAGTCCAAAAACAAGAAAGTATGACCTCGATTATTGACAAAATGCTCCCAATTTTACAAGTTAATAATGTTGTATTACTAAGCTACAATCTCATATTCAAAGAAACTTAACCCTTAGCCAAACATAATACCCAGGAGATATTTTCATTCAGCTATCCTTGCACATAATGTTCGAGATAAGGAAGTTTAGCAAAAGATCATGCGCACATAATGTTCGAGATAAGGAAGTGTAGCAAAAGATCATGTTCTCTGCATGATGAAGTGCAATGTGTATGTTTAGCAGCCTGTGGTGCCTGCAACTTTTTTTTAAATAAAAATAAACTTTGGGAGCAGGGGTCAATTTAGAACTAGGTGTTGCGCACCTGTTGCTTTGACACAGTGGAAGAAATAACCAGGTAACCGCTTACCCAAAAACTACACAGATATTTCACAAGCATCTCAACCATTGCTTTTATTCAAGTGATGAAATATCTTAGGCCCCTTATCAGCCTACCCAAAATCCAGACTGCATCTAACTTCTACACATGAGCATTCTAGTTTAAAGGAACATTTTAATATTGAACCTTCCAATAATGTAGTTCTCTTACCTTCTAAATGTATCCTAAATGATAAACTGGTTGCCTTAGAACTCCTAAAATATTCTGTGTTTAACCTCCATATAAGCCTTCTAGTTTGACAGAATAATCATCTGATATAAAACCTTTCGAGAAAGTATAGTGGCACCATTGGATTGATACATCAAATATCTTACAAATTAATAGGAAATGCACATTCCATTAGAAGAGTATACCACAAATTAAAGGGTATCATACCTGAATATAATGGTGAACCACAGTCTCATACTGCTCCTTGAGGTTCGCAAAATAGATCAACTCATCTACTCTACCATAACTGCAAAATAGATTGTGTCTTAAAAGATCTATACCTTCCAGCTTCAAAATGTCAAATATACAGCACAAAAAATAAAAGTGAAAAAATAGTAGCATTAAGCATGCTATTTATAGTGGTATTTGTGCACCTCCTTTACAGAAATACCTAAATATGATTACATAAAGTACATTATCATCTGTGCAACCACATGAAAAATGTGGCATGGTGATCATCATCATCCAATCAACAAGTTGGACATAATGGAGGTAGAGGTAAAGTAGGACTCTCCGATATACCGTTCTATGCATTAAAATGCTCTCAATAAATCCTAGTCACAAAAATACCCTAATCTTAACATAACATAAATTGCAAGCATAAGAATACCGTTTATTGTGAAATCAACTTTTGTCAACAATGCATAATAAACAATGTGGGAAAGGGGAAATATAAATACCTTTTTGTAAGTTCTAGACTTTGTCCACTTTTTTTTTATGGATATTAAGTTGGTCTATATAGGCTTACATAGGGTGGATATACATTTATATCAGAGACACTACACTATTTCAATTTTTTGCACTACAGATTTACAATCTTCTCGATAGATTATTAGAACCAAACAAGAAATTCACAAGTAAGATTACCTTTCTAGTAGTCTTACTACTGTTGCTTCATCTAGAAAATCCTTGCAATCATTCAGGAATGCCTGAAATTCCATTCGAATAGCTTGATACTCTGAATTTCCACTATCAATCGTTGAAGCTTCAAGACCGGCCGTGTCATCCTCCAACAATAGTCGATTAATCTAAAAGAAAAAATAGCAGAATTACAAAATGATTTTGCTGCGAGCTCATGATTATATATATGCCCCACCAAGAATAATGACCTTAAAATTATGTCCAAGTTCCAAATGCAAATTTAATTACTTCTATATCAAGAACTAGCTAAGTTCCAACTCAAAATGTCAGGATTTTCCAAAATAGTAACGCGATATTTCTAGTTTTTCATGGGTTAGAATTGTATGTTCCCAGGTCATGAGTTTGAATTGTGTGTGCCTAACTAACTCTTCGGGTTCCCTTTGTCCTCTGATTGATCTTGAGGGAACTCCCATTCACATAGGAGCTATTTTCATCTAGTCGTGCTACAAATAAAATCCTGAATAGAACCCTTCGCTTAAAAAATGTATACATCAACTTTCGCAAGGATGCAGACACATTTGAACAAAACGAAGCTCGTCCGGTGAAGGGATCTTTCTAACTTAGATTTTGGGGATTACATTTCCAAGGTACCCGTATATACTGTTTATTTCACATCCAATGGAACCTTAGATCAGAACATCTCCATTTAAATGATTACCTTGTTGGAAATTGTTGGAAGGGGGGGGGGGGAAATCAAGAGAAAGAGGAAAAGGAATTAGATAAGATAATACATTGTGGGTATTACCCCTTACACTCCTCGGTCTTCCTTGTATCTGACATGCTTGTCTTGCTCCGCTACAAGACACCTCCGTAGTCTCCTTTTCCTTTTCCTTCTCACCTTTATTATCCTGTTGCCTCTGTTGTTTTTTCATAGAGGTCCCTTCGGCATTTATATAGATCCTTGTATGTCTCTTGGTGGAGACAGTTGCTCGTAGTGGGAGCAATTACCAGAGTAGTGAATGGATAAAGCCAGTTACTGAAATTATATCAATGCATGTTCACTTTAGTGAAGTGAAACAAGTGTCCCTGAGGAAGTGGATTGCCTGCATGACGTTCGGAATTGGGACAGGTGTCCTCAAGAACGTGGACTTCATACCTCCCACATCTTGGACATATTACTTCTTTTGTGGAGACAAGATTTGGTGCAAAATGACCAGTTATGTGGAGACAAGATTTGGTGCAAAATGACCACTTATGTGGAGACAATATTTGGTGCAAAATGTCCACTTTTGTGGAGACAAGATTTGGCCCATTCTATCCCACCAGCGGTTGGCAGTTTGAAGCAGAGAATCGACTATTCCTTGGGCTAAATTGCTTAGGATCTGAGGTTTATTGAGACTGGTTATGCAATCGGTAATATGGGGGATTGAGCTTGATATCATTTGGTCCAAATCCCATGCAAAAGCATGTCATATCCTGGGAGAATTGGATTGATCAAGCAATACTGCTCACTGTATGGCAGTGTGCAGCAGCCCCTCCATGATTTGACATTGCGGCTCAAGTTGCTTCCCATTGTTGATCCGACTTGCTCCAAGCTTGCTTTGGATTTGTAAAGAATCGATTAAGGAAGATTTTGCCTCAAATTTCATCTCAAAAGACAGAAGAACGAGTGAGATATCATGAAAATATCATGCAGTCCAGGCTACAGGCCTGATTGAAGCCTCAAGTTCATTAATTCACTCTTGAATCCTGGAGCAATACCCCAAAAAAAGTACTTGATTTTGTAGAGAATTGAATGGGATCATTTTTCCTCAAATTTTTAATCAAAAGACCCAAGAATGGAGGAGATATGGCTGAAATAAGGCAGAAAGCCCATCAAGGTGGCTGGCAATTGGCCTTTGTGGACCGGCAACATGTTAAGACTTTTTTCAATGACACTAATCACTTAAGGGCTTGAAACTTTGGTGGGGCTTTGATGGTTCAAACTTTAGGCTCATTCTGAGGGCTTCTTGGCAGGGGGCTAGAAGCTTGTAGAGAGATTTAACTAGGAATATACCAGATCTTCACAGCTTGGCTCCGCTTGTCAAGTCAAAAAACACAGCTCAGCTTGGCTCATTATAAACCAAGCCAAGTCAACTCGGAAGCTGCATGGCTTATTGACATCCCTATATTTACCCAATCAAGGGCTTCTGGTATATTTCTCTTTATCTCTCCCCTTCTTGGCCTAAATACTAGCCATAATCAACAGAATGTACCATAACCTCTAATAATCCCAACATTAACATGATAACTAAGGCCAACGACTCTATTTAACCCAATCAAATTCTTCATAGAGATTAGCTTAGAGCTCTCCCATTCTTGGCTAATAAAAATTAGTCATAATTAACTGTATGTAACCCAGCTCTAATATGAACCCTTTCACCAGCGATAGATTCCATACACTGAATAGCATTTGCGATGTTAATAGTTTTCATGACCACAAACTTCAAATTTCTTCACATTGACCTAGTTAATCAATGGCATAAGCCAATAACTTTCAGGCCCATTTTTTGGGCTTAAAAAATGTTTTCCTGACTCAATACATAATCAATGCATTGTTTATAAAAGAATTATGGTTCCTAATATCACCAGGTGCTGTTTCATGCTAATTTGACTGGCACATGGTTCCTAGCAGATAAGCCATTCAATATATTTTGTACACAATGCACTTATACATAGAAGTCACAAAGGTAAGCTAAATATAAGGAATAAGGTATTGCTGAATCTACTAAGCTAATGCCAAAGAGTACATAACATGTTCATCAAACTTCTGCAAAAACAAAAAAAGTAATATAACAACAACCAATAATACAAAAACAGCTCTCATAAACCATACATAGAGGCCCAACCTTGTCAAGGTACAGCTCAGTAACCCATGTTGAGATCATCGTCATTTGGCACTTATCTTCCTTACCAAGATTATCAAGCTTCCTTAGTAAGAAAGTCCTCACGGCATCCTATACAATGAGAGAGAAATGGACAACTCAATGAGAAAACGATGTAGATGAAGAAACTATTATGGAAAATAGAAATAGAACAATAGTAGATGACACAATGCAAGTGGATGTAAATGTCTAAATCCAATCCATTAGGCATTATATTCACCTGTTCACCTACTCCAATGAATTTCAAAGTGATCTCTTCAAATGATAACAAATAATTCACCTGCATTTGAACAAGACAGTTTTCAAAATTGATAATAAAGTATGAAAGAAAATGTAGTCTAGATGAAATACTGTTGAAAATTCATATACCACATGAAGCTCTTTAAAATTTCCAAAATCTTTCTGAACCATAAAAAGTTCACAGCCAACAATAAAGCGGTAAAATGTGAAACAGGACATGACAGTCCAGCACATTAGCTGAGCCTCTTTTGCTTCAGGACGTCCTTCACACCTCACGGAACAAGCTTCAATTTTTATGGGTTAAAAAAGAAACATAATGGAGAAAAATGAAATGGTTGTACAGTTTCATCAATTTTTATCGGTAAAATGAGTTTTAAATTTAACTGACACATGGTCCCATAGACTAAAGGAAATAAAAATTAAGTTCTATTCATACAAAATTTAGGTTATTATCAGTGAGGGACCACAACAAGCTGACATTGCCAATGCACTAGCTGTGCCAACCCATTCCAAGCCATACAATAATGCAAAATAGGGATTATGGTCCTTCCCAAATGAAATGTAGAACACCAGTTATCGCAACATAAACATATTAACAGCATTTTGCAAGTACTCTCCAAAGCAAAAGGGTTTGGCAAACCATGTGCCATTGAATGCTAACACATTAGTAGGGATAATGGCCTGTAATGCATCGACCTTCCAAACACAGCCTAATTCTAACACAGTAACACCTCAGACCTTTAACACAAAATTCACACTCAAAACAATTATAGCCACAGTGTTCTTCGTTTTCCATGTGTTATATTTGCAATCATCATCCGAGTCTTATCCCAATTATTTGGGGTTGGCTGTCGAATCTTGAATCCATTTTGTAATATTCCATGTTGGTTATTAATAGCGTTGCTTCTTTTTAATGGAAGCACAACTGACTAGAAGAACATAGCTTTATTGGAAGATTTTTTTTTTCCTTATTTCAGAAACTTCAATTTAATCACAGAATTTCAAACAAACGGTCAAGAATTTTGAATAGGCAGTCTTTAGATGGTGCAATGAGATTGATGAACCTACCAAAAGTTTCAACAAGAAAAACCATGACAGAACACATTAAATCATTTAGAATATTATATTACGAAGCACACTCGTATCAAATTTTATTGTCACTCATTGTTTATGTAACCAAAGGACAGGATTCATGTATTTAAACTAAAAAAAGATAAAGCTTAACACCATTATAGAAAAACAGTTAAACTAAGCATTACTGCATCCGAAAAGAGCCGAGACTTAATTGTTTAGCGCTTGACGATTTGCAATGCTGCTCAATTCCTACGAAGGGTAGAGGCCCTCTCCCCACTGACTCACCCAAAAATATTATTAATGCATATCTTATACTACCACCAAAAGGTCCAAAACATATTATATACATCAATTAACTAGAATTTATATGTTAAAAGAGAAGATCAGAGACAAAGTGAGAAGACAATCAAGTCACAACCATTACCACAAAAAAGTCAACATATTCAGAGTCAACATATTCAGATTCTAGACATATATATAAATATGGGAGAGAATATTTAAACTAAGTCTCAGAAAAATGGGCTACAAGGAGATTTCAACACCTTACCTTCGCGTAGAAGGATGCTGCTCTATGAAAATCTTTTGAAGAGAAAGCAGCTTCAGCCTGTACCATAATTGCTATCATTATTCTATGTTAAGAGGAAATCAAATGCATTAGTCATCACCTCTCTCATCTGGAACAAATGCAGACCCTCTATACCCAACCCAAGATTTGGTAATTATTCCATAAAAGACGATTAAAATAAGGAACATTATATAATAAGACTACTTATCTTTCGTACATTGAGGCCACATTCACTTTTACCCTTAAGATGTGAAATTAGTCCGATGGGGAGCATCCTATTGACCAAACTCAAAGTTCAAAAAAAAAAAATCGAATTTTATGAAGCACAACTAGTTGTCAGATTTCATACTAGACAACTAGGAGTGATTGGTGACCTTCTAGTACCAAAGGTAATGATCTTATAGTATGCAATCCCTTAAAATAATCATCCAGTGAGGACAGCATCAAACATTTTTACATTGTCATCAGCCTGAAATCATACCATTACCCCATGAAGGATAACTAATATTCTTAATAGGATCAGAGATCAGATAATTTGCATATTGTGATCAACCTACAACAATGTAAGGGCACGTCTGGATGTACTCATTATCACTGATAATTCATTGTTTAATTCTTGATAATAGATTATTTGTTGTTTGGTAGAATACATCATAAAGTTATATGAGATATAATCTTATAGGTAGTTTTAAATATGAGTTTTTTTTAATGAAAAACTATTTTTACTTTATTCAAAGTAATTTATTGAAAGTCACATTTTTTAGCCAAAAATAACTAAAAATAGCTAAAAATCACCACAAAAGTTAAATAATTAGATAGCTTTAGATATAATATAATACATGTACCAAACAGCTAATAAAATAATATTCTACAGAGTATAATAGTTTTCGATAAGATAGTCTATTCTAGATAAAATTAATTGTCATCCAAACATGCCCTAAAGGTGTATAGAGAGGATAAGCAGTTACCTGCACGAGATATACTTGATCTCTTTGGAATGGATTCCTACAGTGCTCCAATGCCGCAGCATATTCTTTCAAATCTAAATAAACTTTCCACATATCTTGGCCCTCATCACGAACTGAAACCTGCAGTACAATAAACAGAAGAGAAACAAATTTTCAACTTAAAAATCGATCAAGTAGAGGAACAGGATCAAAGTAATTAAACGCAAGAAACCACCAAATCTCGTAAACCTCAAAGATCGAATTTTCGTCATAGGCATAGAACACTCCGGCTGTGGCATCACTACACAATCCAATAATCCCCCTGGCGGTTGATTCTGGGGAATGATCGAAATGTAATTCCTCAATGATTTGTTGGCTAATTCGATTAACAACCTGAACACATTTTACATGGTTATCATAGAGACGCAACAAAGAGTATCTATAATTTTGTTAAAAGAAGTGCATCACTGATTGAAGAATATATAGGTAACAAATGCCTTCTACAGGCTGAAGACAATATATCTACAAACAATAATAAACATACAATTATGCAGCTGAATCAATGTAGATATGCCTTGAGGCACACTACATACACTGCATGTGTGGGGACTTCACAATGCACCGCATATGTGAGAGCTTCAAAAAGAATCTGTAAACAGAAGATATACTAAGAGTCCTCTCTCTCCCCTTTCTGTCAGCAGAGCGGTGGGATTTAGTGCGTTTTCCTTCCATATTTAATTTTCTTGTTCAAAATGAATCCTGTGTAACTAAGAACTTACTTTACAACATACATTTTGGGATAAAGAGGAAATTAATGTGAAGTCTTGGCCCCCTTACAAAGAAGATCAAGAATCTTCGGTGGAAACCAATAAAATTGTTCCCTTAAATGTCAATATGGTCTTAAGATTTCCTCCTAAAAAGTAAATCAATGGTGGATTTCTCCTAATGAAACTTCTAGCTCCTACAAATAATTGAAGGTACAAGCTGTCCTAGCTCTCTATCTAATTCAGATGACCAGTTGTTTGTCTTTTCAGATGAACTGAAAATTCAAAAATATACAGAAAAGTTTTAAAACTGACAACAAAGGGGATTTTCGGAAGCTATTGGATAAAACCTGAAGAAATTGGCCATTCAGAAGACCATGTTTATCAAATAAAAAAAATGGTATACACTCAAAATCTGTTACTAGTACCTGCTAAAATACATTGAGCTATTTTTAGAGACATGATAATATAAATTTTTGTGTCAAAGAACAAAAAAAAAATGGATAAAATATCCCTAAGGAGAGAAAGTCGAAACCATGAATGGAAGGCGAAAACTAACAAAATTTGCCTTGAATGTTCCATTGAAAATTAGTGATAAAATCATTACAGCAAATTTTGTTCAAATTAATGAAATTAATGAGAGAAAAAGTGTAGGGAACTAAATCATATTGAATTCATTAAGAGTGATGATCAAAGGGTCTTGGTTAAAGATGACGAGATCAACAAAAGGTGGAGAGTTTATTTTTCAAAAATTATTAAATGACGAATACAATGGGAACATAGCGGTAGAAGAAACTGGTGGTACGAATGAGGGCGGAGGTCATAGATACATTCATAGGATTAAGATGTCGAAAGTGAAAGAAGCTTTGAAAAGGATGAAGATAGGAAAGACTTTAGGACCATATGGTATACCGATAGAGGTTTGAAAGTGCATGGGGGAGATTGGCATCGACTGGCTGACGAAGCTGTTCAATAAGGTGTTGAGAACAAAAAAATATAAATGCCAGCTGAATGGAGGAAAAGTATTGTGGCACCTATTTACAAGAACATATGAGACATACAAAATTGTGCGAACTATCGAGTGATCAAGCTTATGAGCCATACTATAAAGCTCTGGGAGAGAGTAATTAAGCAACGACTGAGGCATAAAACAAGTGTATCTAAAAACCAATTTGGTTTTATGCCAGGAAGGTCAACAACTGAAGCTATTTTCCTACTTAAGCGACTGATTGAGAAGTTTAAGGAGAAAGGAAAAGACCTCCACATGGTCTTTATTGATCTAAAGAAAGCTTATGATAAAGTACCTCGAGATTTGATTTGGCAGGTGTTGGAAAACAAATGAGTTTCCAGACACTACAACGACTTGATGAGAGATATGTACAATGGCGCGTTAACTAGTGCACAAACAACTAGTGGAGAGACGAGCGAGTTTTCAATGACAATAGGTCTACATCAAGGATCAGCTTGAGCCCGTACCTCTTTATCTTAGTTATGAACGACTTAACTAGGCACCTACAAGATGAGGTACCGTGGTGAATGTTGTTCGCAGAGGACATAATTTTCATCGATGAGACCCGAAATAGCATCTACACAAAGTTAGAACTTTGGATGGATACTCTAGAATCCAAGGTTTTAAAATTAGTCCGACTAAGACAGAACATATGGAATGCAAGTTTAGTAATAATAGGAGTAGAGACGAGGAAGTAGTTAAGATTGACGGCCAGGAAGTACAAAAAAGACCGCACTTTGTGATATCTTAGGTCGATAATCCAGAAAAATGGAGAGCTTGAGGAAGATGTCGCACACAGAATTAGAGCTGGACGGGCGAAGTGGAGATGTGCAATTAGCATTTTATGTGATTGCCGCATACAAATGAAGCTGAAGGGCAAGTTCTATAGTTTAGCTGTAAGACTAGCTTTGCTCTATGGGGCTGAATGTTGGACGAACAAAAAACAATATACCACTAGAATGA